CACACTTTTCCCTTTTTTTGGCTGATGAGATTAGATATTTTTTTTTGGAAGAATTATTGCGAAATATATTTGCATGAAAAGGCTTGGAAAATTTGTAGAAAATCGACTAGAAAATGTGATTTCAAGGCTATTTTCCTCTCAAAAATAAGGAAAAAAAAGATATATTTCGGTTTTTAGACTAGAGAATAAGGATGATTTTCTGACCTTTTTTGACATAGGAAATATGCATTTTCAGTGATTTTGAAGCTGAAAAACGATACTTTTGGCCGATTTCCAGCCTAGAAATTGCAGTTTTTATGCATTTTTCAACCCCGAAAATTCCAATTTTCGGAATTTATGACTTTTTGAGACCTGAAAAATTGGAATTTCAGGCGTTTTTAAGCCCAGAAATGCATTTTTTAGTCCAGCTTACAAATTCCCGACAATATTCCCAGTTTTTTTTTTCAATTTATAGAAAAGGAATTCTTCAAAATCGTCTTCCTAAAAAATTGCTGATGAAGACTATCATCAGACACACTTCCGGTTCTCCTCTTCCCACTTCTCTGCGTCTCTATCTCTCTCACACTCTTTTCCCAACTTCTTCCCAATTTGGGCCGTATCAGATTGCGATTGCGAAACACCCCCACATAGAAATGGCAGTGGGAGAAGGAATGACGGCAGCAGGCAGATGCCTCAGAATGCTTCTTCCATAATACTTTCTCCTTCCTTTTCCCTCGATTAGTTGTTCTCATTTTCCGTGTCATTGGGCATTTTGGAATCTAGCTGATTTCTTTTTTTCTTTTTTTGGCGCTTTTATCTATTCCCAGCAGGGTTTTTGGCGGAAAATCGGCGAATTCTGAGCTAGGAAATGGTGGATTTAGAGCTGAATTGGTCAAAAAAAAATGGCTTCGAATCCAAAAATGCTGGATTAAGAGGCAAACTTTGTTATTATTGAAGGTGATTTTCAGCCAGGAACTTTTAGTCTTTAGAACAGTCTAGATCCGAAGAATGTAGATTTCCAGCAGTTTTTGTCGGCTGAAAATCGGCTAATTTTGTAAGGCTTCCATTTCGGTCGGTCGAAAATCGCCGACCACCGACCGACCACCGACCCAGCCGGCCGACAGCCGACCGAGCTGACCGATTTCGTGCCTTTGCGCATCAAAACACGAATTTTTGCGTACAAAGCACATTATTTTACGACAAACGAGGCATTTTATTGAGTAGTTTGTCGTATAATACAATGCTGAGTATGCAAACACGTTGACGCGCAAATGCACGAAAACGGTCGGCGCGCCGATCGATCGGTCAGCTCGGTCGGTCGACTAAATTTCCCGACCGAATGGAAGCCTTATAATTTTGAGCTAAAAACTCCTAAATTCATAATTCGAATTTTCACATTTGTTAGCATTTCCAATTTTTTGAACTTTTGAAATTCTTGCGATTTCTGATTTTCAGACTTCTGAATTTTAAGAAACCAGTCGGTTTACGCCCCTTCTGAACCTCCTGGCCTCCTTTCGCCCTCCTCCACCATCGCCCTTTCTGCACACCATCCTTTAGTGTGGTGAAACCAAGGAACGTCTCCAGAAGACTTCAAAATCAAAATTTCGAAAAACCAAAAGTTTGGGCATCAACTAAGACACACTTCTGACCTATCTGTCCAGGTTTCAGCTCAATCGGTTAACTTTGAAGGGGTGAACGGCTACGCGAAATACATCACCACATACAGAATTTGGTGTTTGTTATTAGTAATGATGATTCTACAGATTTTCGATTTTTTTTTTCAATTCAGAATCTTCAATTATTAATTATCCGAAAATGTAGATTTCCAGCTGAAAATCGGCTAATTTTGAGCTAAAAACTCCTAAACTCATAATTCGAATTTTCACATTTGTTATGAGGTAATTCAGGGAGTCGGCAAAAAAGGGAAAAAAGAAAACCCCGCGAAAAGTCGGAGAGTGTTCCAATCTGGCTGAAATTTTGGGGCAAAACTGGAGAAAACTATAGGAAACATTTTGCCAAAGTTTGGGGTCAAAATATCAACTTTGAAAATTTGTCTGAAATTCCAGCAAAATTTTCAAAGTTGATATTTTGACCCCAAACTTTGGCAAAATGTTTCCTATAGTTTTCTCCAGTTTTGCCCCAAAATTTCAGCCAGATTGGAACACTCTCCGACTTTTCGCGGGGTTTTTTTTTCCTTTTTTTGCCGACTCCCTGAATAACTCCATTAGCATTTCGAATATTTATGGAATGTTGAACTTTTGAATGCCTGAGTTTTTGAGTTTCAGTTCTTTCTTTTTTTTTAACTCAGCCCCTGAAAATTTTTTTCAAAAAAAAAAAATTTTTCTTTTTGGTTTTTATCAGTCTTGACATCATAAACACACAATTTCCTATCTTATTCTCTCTCTCTCTCTCTCTCTCTCTCTCTCTCTCTCCCTGTTACGTAACTCCAAATAATAACAAGAGAAATAGTAAGTAAGCTAGAAGAGACGGTAGAGAAACGAGAGAATTTTTTTGGTTGAAAAAAAAAATCAGTGATAAGGATGGGAAGAAGAAGAGTTGGGGGTTGAAAACCGGTTTTTCAATTTTTTCAAAAAATTTTGTTGAGGTAGTTGAATCGATGGAAATTCCTAAAATTCTGAGTTTCAGATTTTTCTGAGATATACCGTAAAACCTGTATTAGAAGGGCCCTCCAGAGGTACCTTGGAACAATAGAAGGACCGGCTTTCTGAAATTCAACATTTTCAGATTTTATAATTTCAAAATAACTGAAATTCCAAACTTTTTGTGATCTTGAAATTTTCTGAATTTTCAAGTTGTTCGAAATTCGAAAATTTGGATTTTTACAGATTTGAAAATCCCAAGGTTTTTGGAAATTCGAATTATTGGAAACTCGAAAATCCAAAACTTCAAAATTCAAAAATCCAGAATTTTGAAAAATTCTATTTTTGGAAAATCTCAAAAAATCCAAGAATGCCTGAAATTCGGCGAATCACAATAGTACTACAGTAACCTTACTAACTAGCAAAGCGCCCATAGTTTGTAGTAAGGATACTGTCCCTAGGTACAGTATTCCTAGTTTCCTGTAACTTCTTCTACAACTACTGTAGGCTCTGTAGCAGTGTGTGTCCCTTCGACACGACTTCGAGAAATTTTTGCGAAAAATTTTTCGAGACGAATTCATTTTGCAGTGGTG